CCCCCCGAACGGCACCCCAAACGGCGGTGACCCCCTTTGGTCGCCGCCCTTCGCCCGCCGGCCCGAGGGGCTGTTCCCTCCTGGCCGCGGCCGCTGCTTTGAGTCCGCAGGGCATCTCCGAGTCCCGCCCCGTCGCACACCGCGCGCGCCCAATCACCTGGGCCGGCGGGCAGCGCTCTCCGGCGCCGCGTGCGCCTGCGCTGGCCGCTGGAGCTGGCTGCCGTCGACGCCGTGGTTGCACGCATCTGCTTGCATTCGCTTGCCCACGCGGCGCCTCTTTCCTCCAGCAGCGCGATGGAGCGGCGTGCTGCTGGAGGTGGGCGGAAGTCTTTTTCATGTTGGCTTGGATTCCTACTGGTGTGTGTTGGGAAAGAAGCTTCTGCAAATTCATCCTTCTACCCCTTGCCCCCTTCCACGCTCCAAACAGCTGGTCTATACAGCTGAAGGATCCTCCAGAACTGTGTGGGAGGTAACACAGGAGGCAGCAGAGGGAGGAAGCAAAAGCCATCAAGCTCCACTGTATCAGAAGTGTTTGGTGAGTAGAAAGAGTTCTTCAATGTATGGAAGATAAAGTTTGGATCCAATCCAATATATTTCTCACCAGTTTTTAGTTTTATTAAAATTACTGAACACAGTTACTTAACTCACCTGTGCTTCTGGAGGACCCCCTTCATCTCTTATCAGCAGCAGGTAACTTTGTCCATCAACCACTATCTCTTTCTTGAATCTTCCACCTGTTACACAAAACAATTAGTTAGAGAAGAGTTAAAAATGTAAAGTAATGAAGGCTTTTCTTGAGGAAAACTACTCTTACATGCTTGAAACCAATTGTGGCATGACAGTGGTTAAGATTTCACTGACTATTGTAGATAAGCAACACAAAATGCCGTATTACAGTGTGCCTTTATAGTTCAGTCTGGTAAGGAAAAACATTTCTGGCATTTTGCTGTTAAACTGCTTGATATATACAATTCAACTTTCAGGTTAAATTTAAGTGTTTCAAAAATGAGAGGATAACCATTTTGTGAGAATTCAGGTAGACCTATGCATGTGTCCTAACAGAGAGCAAAATATATGCACTTACAAAGCATGCAATTGCTTAGTTTTCATCAAGAGAAGCTTAGTTCTAGAAAGCAAAACATACATTTTTAATGAAAATGATATCTCGCTATTACAGAAGGATGTTGTAATATGACAATATACGTTAGACAAAAAAGAACTATTTGCAATAACAGTATCCCATGTGGGTAGGTTTAGTCAGAAAACTGCTAAGCATATGCATTTTTAATCTGTACCAAGACTGTTTGGAATTACTGTATTTAGCAAATTAATAAAAGAGGTGACCCCAGAAAACATGCACTGTTCTGAACATGTCTGAAAATTCAGTCTATGAATATCTCTCTTATAATAAATAATCCCTTAAGTACCATGCTCTCTCTTGCACAGTGCAATGGCAAAATATGTTCAGACTAAGACTAGATTAACCAACTCAGCCTGCTTGAAGTCTCATTATACACTTAATGCAGCTGAAACTGAAGATACTTGTGTTACACTGAGACGACTCCATGAAAAACAATGCACAGCACAACATTATGAGTAACTAGCCATGGTGAGTTGCTATATCATCCAAACCCAGACAACTTCCTACGTAGCGGCTCCTTTGTGGCAGTAAGTCACTTATGCCACTGCCAGTAGATGACCTAGTCCACTAATGCCCAAGTGGCTCATCAGTTCACTGGCTCATTGGCCTTTTGAACAGGACAACACAAATTTGTGCATTTGAAATTGTATTTTTCCCCTCAGGCTTGTGCATGTGCACATTTATGGCTGCCTGAGATATTGCCAGTCCAATGTCTTAGTGAACGTCTGCTGTCAAAACACAGTAGTTATGCATGGACGTTGACCAAACAAGCCTGCATATAGTTACTTTGCACACTCTTGACAGCTGTCAGTTGATAAACTGTCAACTGAAAAGCAATTAATCTCACAGTCAACAGTGTAATCCTCCAGTTTGCAAGCACTGCCCTGACAGTGCCCTGCCCTGACAGTGCCCTCCAGCCTTTATTCAGTTCACCATGTTTCTAGATAATCCTGAAAGGAGAGACCTACATCCCACCCCCTTTTGGTGAGCACTTCTGACAGCTGTCAAAAGAAAGGGTTGTTCTTTTTAAAAATGAGGAGGCATATTTCCCTGTCCAAAACACTGTTCTAGTTGTACAGCTCCACCCCATGAAAAGTAATACAGCAAACAGGAAAGTGGTTGCAGGGAATGGGGAGAAAGAGAACATTTCACTAGGAAAGTACAAGCATTCCCAGAAGAGAATTACACACCCAGAATGTGGAACAGACCAATCACAAGAGGCAGCTGACATAATGAAGGCATGCCCACACTGCAGTGTCACAAGGGCTTCTGATACAGGAGAAGGCAAGGAGGACAGAACCAAACAATCCATGAATGTGGAAAACAAACTGTGATTTGTTTGATCATCTGGCATACAAATCATGAATCAACTCTGGGTAAGGCAACAACCCATGGGTTAATTAAACCATGATTTGTCTTTATGGGGAAACCAGCCCAGTGATTAAAGACAGCAGGCCTCTTTGCATGTAATGGTGGCAAGTCATAGATTAATTAATTAATCCAAAGAATTTCATGACGTGTGTCAAGTACAAACCATTGTGGTTTTGCATATGCAACCAGCAATCAGCTGGATTCCAGGCTGTTGAATGGTATGTGCACCCAGATACTGTGGGTTGTTTGTGGGTAAACAATCTCAAGTTAGCCTAAGAACTAATCACAAATTAAGTATATATAGTTCAACCCACAAATAACACAAAATGTTGGTGCCTACACATTTTGCAGCTACCTATGGTTTGGCTAATAGCCTAACAGCTGAAATCAGAAGTGGAACTTGCTGTGGCATAACTTAGATTAAGTCACTCATTATTTGCTACCATTACCTGTGCAATGAATCATTGGTTCAGTTTAGGGATTAACTGCATACCTCATATCAAGATTTAATGCTAACATATTATTCAGTAGAAATATAATATTTACATCCCTTCCCCAAAAAAACTGTTTAAGACTCTTAAAAATATTTTACGATTTTTAAAAATAACTTATTTTCTCCATCTTACTACACTGTCTTTCTGTCTTAACACCACCATCACACAAACACAGAAAAGCAATCCTATCCAGCCTGTTAGAGAAGCAGAAACTGGAAGCTCAGAACTCTGAAAAAGCAAGAACTGGTAGGACAAACAGAACTATTTTCATGAGATGAAAAACCAAAATGAATACCCATGTTTATTGATAGGTATTTATAGATCAATGTGCATAAGTGTGACAGACACATTCCCATAAAAATAAGTTAATGGAAGTGTGCGTTTATTAAGATATTTAATGGTAATTACAGTGGTACCTCAGCTCATGAATGCCTCAGTTCATGACCAAATAGGGTCACGAATAGAAATTTCAGAAAAATTTTGCCTCAGGTCGCAAACTCTGCATCAGGTGACATCGCGCCCGTCTTCCCTGCACGAGTGTGATCGTGATCGTGCTGAGAGCAGGGGGGAGAGGACCACAATCGTGCTCTGGGGGGGAGGTGGGAAGATGGTCACAACTGCAGTCGCACTCATGCAGGGAAGACGGGTGCAATCGCAGTCATGCTTGGAGGGGGAGGGGGGATGGCTGCGATCTTTGTTGTTCTTTGTTACTTCGTTTCAAATTTTTGTGATTAAAAAAACACAAAACGGATTAACAGAACGGATTAACCTTATTTACATTGAACCTTATGGGGAAATTTGACTTGGCTCATGACCAATTTGGGTTGCAACCAGAGTCGTGGAACGGATTAAGTTCGTGAGCCGAGGTACCACTGTATGTTATTTTTAAATGAAAATGGAATTTTAATTGCTAAAAAATCAAATAAAAATCAGTGAGTTTTTGCACCTTAGAACAATCCAGGAAAACATAGCCCTGCTCTCTTTTTATACAATATAGAGCAACAATGACTGAATAAGGCTACAGTTAACTAGAGATCAATAGATTCATTCAAAATGCCACTGCATTACTCAGAGGTAGTTCCCACTGACTTCAACAGAATATCTGCTCAGTGTTCATAAGAAGGTACCTTAGTTGCACATTAAATATGTACTCCCATTTAAAAAGTTACATATTTGGAAGGAATTGTGCTGTTAGATGATTGTTTGGAGGGAGCATTTTTACACAGAAATTATGCCTTAATAAAGGTATTATCTATCACTAATTAGTGTCAAATAACAGGTCATACAAGGTCAAGGCATACAATACCCTTGGTGTAATATTAGTGTACAATATGCAGAAGACAGGCAGTATCTTTGAAATCTATTTTCACTCATATTTGTCCATTTCGGATTTATAGATTCTGCACTCCCTTTCCTGGAGCTCTGCAGTAATATTCTCACGAACTATTTTAATAGAGCAACATGGTATATAACTTTTCTGGTCAGTTCAAGCCCTCTGGGGCCGCAGCTGAACAGATGTGTGGAAGCTATAAACTCAAACTGAACATTTCATCTTTTCTGCTTTATAAGAACACATACAATTAAGGAGTTTTTGTATGAAAGCTAGAGATAGGCTAATGGCTAATAAATATACAACCAAACAATGTACAATATTAACTGCAATGCTTGTATATCAGAATGAATTTCAACCGATAAAATTGAAAGATTTGTTCCTGTGGAAAGTTTCTACAGAAGTTAAAGTAAAAACTAATACAATCAAATTATATTTGTACTAAACTATGCAAGAAGTAACAGGTATTGCGCCAATTCTGTGGTGCTTAGCCATAAAATGACTTGCCCTTTGCCTCCTCACTTAAACATCTAAAAGTAATTTTATGAATGCAAAACATTTAGATTCATGGGGGAAAAAAACTTGTGCTCACAGAATGGGTCTTTCCATTAGAATAATCCTCCTTCCATTTAAGAAATTTAAAGTTAGGATCTAAACCATAATATTAAATCTTAATTCTTAACAATCCTCTGTGTGTTATAAAAAATACACCATAACTTCTTAATATAGGAGTTATTCTGTCCTTTTATATTTTACTGCCTTTAAAAATGTTTTATGATTATGGACAATTTTGGGTTTTTGTACTTTAGTTTTGGGTTTCATTTTGTGCACTAGCCTAGTCTCTTTTATTAAAGAGCAGTTTTTAAAACTTTTTAACAGCAGCATCAACAAAATATGTATTTCTACACCAAATGCAAACAAGCATAAATGTATTTAACAAAAGTATTTGATCATTCACTAAAGCTTGTATTACAGCTTGGACTAAAAAATGAACTACTGAGAGTCTTATTTCTTCTACTGTGCATTCTCTTTTAAATGGCATACATGTCTCAAATACAGAGGTGCCTTGTATGAGCAGAAAGACATTTCACCTCACACAGCCAGATTCTCATGTATTTTCCCATCTTACTATGGTCCCTCAACCTCACGGGCAGCTGAGGAAGAATAGGGGGCTGTAGCATGGAGAAGAGCCTGGAGTGTAACCAAAATTTCACTTACCTGATTGCTATGGCTAAATAGCAATGCTTGCAATGACAACATCTGTTTGAATCTAGGTTTGGCCCTACAGCGTTTACAACTTCGTCTCCTCCTTAACTGGAAATCAGATAGGTTGCTTACCTCAGTCATTCTTCAAGTGGTCATTTGTGCATCACACATATGGTTGTCAGGAAGCTTCTA